ATCCTGGACGAGGAGAGGAGATAGCAAAGTTTATAAAAGACAAAATCCTTTGGGATTGTCAGCTTTAAAACCGGTTACAAAGCGTTACAGAAGGATCTCCCGTTGCCGAGTTATCGGGCAATAGTGTGGTGGGTGAAATCCCATGTAAACAGCAAAAAATGCCACGCACGAGCAGAACTGCTTCTAAGTAAAAATCAAATTACTGTTAGGAGCTAGCTGGGAACGAATGTGGGACAAGCAGAAAGTGCCATTACGCAGCTGCGTAAGTCTGCGGTGCTTTCCCAGCCAGCGTCTGCCACTGGCACGGCTTCTCCAAAAAGGATAGAGCAGACTTGGGAGAAGTGCAGAAAGGTATCGAGTGCAATCACAACGATGAGGTTTTTCTGAGAAAACAGAAAGAATAGAGAGCCTTTCATGTGGGGAAAAAAGATGATTAGCAGAGGATATGAAAGCGAGGATATGAAATCAGGAGAGCAGGGGAGAAGGCAGATAAGAGAGACTCGCTGGTGCTTAGAACAAAATAAGTGGTGGCATCAAATGGGAACCAGAAGCTTGAAAACACCCGATAAGGGAACACACGCTGCGTAGTGAAACTGGGGTTCATTGCCCAGAGGATGTAGGTGCCAGAAGTAAAATGGGTTTGAGAGCCTAGATCAAGAGCTATCAAATGCAGAGATGCAAATACGCTCTCTGGCTCAGGAAGTCCCTAAACCAGGGTTTCCAGAAGCTGACGGTGCTCCTGTGGGACGCAGCGCCCTCCAGGTGCGTGCTTACCTCGCCCAGCTGCAAGGGGAGGCTGAATCTTGGTCCACAGCCCCTGGAGAAACTCTACTTCTGCAGGCAGGGCCATGCACTGGCATCGCAGGGAATAACGCTGCCCGCAGCCATCGCCAGGGCGCCGCAGGTGGTCCCGGCGATGTTTGCATGATCTTGGAGTTGATGCCGCTTCCTTGAGCACCTCCACCAGCTTTTCTTGGTGGGGTTGGCTTAAAGATACATCCTGCCTCTCTTGCCTGGGAGACTGTACCTGGGAGTTGTTTCACTGAAGAATCAATCCTCAAGCAATGCTGAACGGGTCCTTTTAAGAGAAGTCAGACAACTAGCAATGAAGGACAGCTAGATGGCTTCCTAAACCACCCCAGCACGCATGGATCTCATCCCAGAACAGCCAGATTACTCCCAGCACAGGCTGATGAAATCTCTTGATTTCTCTCTCTGGGAAATCTCACCTCCTGCAGCACGCTGTCAGCATCCTCCCCCTCTCCTCCATCTCCCGCTCATCCTCTCAGCCATTCCCTTTCATGTCATGTCTTTGATCTTTACTAGAGAGGGGGGAAAGGGATTAGAGGGCAGCAAAAGACCACCGTTAAAACCTAATACCCAGAGAACAAGGTTTCTGTTGTATCACCAAGGTGTGCTCCTTCAGGTCATCGCCCTGCGTGGGTCTCGGTGGCCAGTTCAGCAGCTGAGGCTCTACCACCTCTCCCAGTTCAAGACCTTTTCCTAACCTTCCTTTCCGCTCACGTAACAGGGGACACTCACACAGGCACAGTTTTCAGAAAATATTTTAATAATGCTATTTGAGACTCAGGGCATCTGACTGATCGCAGGTGATCAAAGCTGTACGTTCTCTTCTGCGTTGCACGTAAGCCGGTGTGCGAGAGAAGCAGTTGGCACTGGCTTATTCAATGCACCGGTGACACAAATCAGAAATGCCAGATACGCTCAAACTCTGTCTTCTGGTACTTTGGCCATGCCTACACACATATGTACATGTATAACACTGTGTCTGTGCATTAATTTTCCCACGTCGATTAGCTACATTTTCAAAGCAGAATCTCATTTGTTTGTTTTCTTCCCATATATTTAATTTTCAGAGTGCCCGTTCCTACAGCTGGTGATTTCTAACAAACAGGAATTTGCTGTGACTGTTTTGAAAAGTTGTTTTGAATTGAATATCTGAATATCTGGATGGGCATTTATTTCCTTTGGATCTCAAGAACATTCAGGAAAAGGGAAATGTGAAAAAATAACGCGTGTATGCCTTTCCTGGGCTGTGCTGACCCTGCCTGAGGGCTCTGGGCAGAGTTAGACGTCTGGGAAGGGGACTGTGGTGCGTGCGTCGGTGCGCAGTCACTTAGAGAGAAAGGGGCTATCTGAAGCAGTGACGCAGGGTGCCCCATTTCTAGGCAGCCCGTATGTTGAAGGTTTCAGAGTAAACGTCCTCAGCGCTTGCCTGTCCGTAGTTCACCAGGTGGAAGGGGCTGGTGAAGAGCATGAGCCGCAGTCCTTGCTGGCTGGCCACGAGGGACTGGCATTTGTGGCCGACCACCACTCGCTCATTGGGTTTGGCTTGTTTGGGACTCAGAAGCAATTTGTGCGGCACCTTGAACACCGCGAAACGCACGTGCCGGCCCTTTCTTGCAGGCACACATCACTTGCAGTCTGCTTTTGTTGTCTGGAGTTTCTGTTACTGTTGTCCCCTGTCCCTGGAAGGTGCTGCCGTGGCACTGTGTGAATATGAATCGGTGTTATTTTCTGTTGCTAATAATTTTTAAAACGTCTATACAGATTTTCCTCAAAGAGCAAAAATCAAAAAGCCTCAAAAGGAAACATCTAGTAGCGATGTGAATCCTGGGGTGCACCATGCCCTTAGCCTGTATCTTCTGAAATATGTAAAAAGTAGCTTGACATCTTATATTTACGTTTTATTGTCCTTTAAGTTAGAGGAATAAACTGAGTGGGGAGGTGGCCAGAAAAGTCCCTCCAAAATACTGGGAGAAATGTAGTGGCTTTTCCTGAGGGATCCGTTCTCCGTATTGCAGGGTCAAGGCCCCAGCAGCTGCAGAGCCCGGGAACGTTCAGCCAGTTGTGGCTGACACTTTTCTTTTTCCTTTTCTCTGAATGCAGGAGCTGAAGAGGAGGTCCAGGACGTCCATGAACACTCAGTTTAATAAAACACTGGCCTGTTTGCTTACTGGAGAGCTGGAGTGGACAAATACGTTCAGCGCACCAGCCGTAGAGGAGCTCACATCTTGCTCTCTGCACAGGCGACACGCAGTAACCGGCCCTGGCCTGCACGGCCCACGCCAAGGTGCAAACTGCAAATAAGCAATGTGACACTTGTGGTCTCCTCACATGTTCCCACGTTGCGATGGTCACACAAACGCAGAGCCGTGTTCTCCGGCTCCCCTTCTCCTTTGAAGGCACAGGCAGCCCGTCTTCATCCTGTGGCATCTGCCTGCGTGGGCTGGCTCGCTCAGAGACCGCGCTTGGGAGTCACCAGCTGGAGAGCTCGCGGAGCGAGTGCAAGCTGCTATTTTGGCATGTTCATGCCACAGAAGGTTTTGCTAAACACTTCAAAAATAAACAAGCCTTCGAGACCGAAAGCTGCAGAAATTACTTTCTGTGGCCCGGTAGCTCCTGACTTCATTTCCTCACTTAGGTCAAAAGCCAGACTTCATTTAACCTTTCCACTCTTATTTCAGACACAGGAACAAGCTATTCTCCATCTCACCACTCACAGGTCTGCCCTGCAAGGTGCTGCTTCTAACTTCTTTGGAAACCAACAGCTCTCGCCACTTTTGATCACTTCGCTGTCCCTCAGCTGACGCCATCTCGGCCATTCGCTGCGCTTTGCCAGCAGCAGGAGAGGTGAAGACGCAGGGACATCGGCATTTCTGGGAAGGAGCTGGGTCAGACTCTTTCCATTGCAAGGAATCCACCCTCTCATCTGGCAGTGTGAACAAGTCTCTCGCTCATCCTCTAACTCCTCCACCTACCCTCAGAATAGGTGTGATGGCCGGCCCTGTTCAGAGCAACTCATTTGTTGAGCCTCTTTCAAACCTGAGATGCCCCCCGTCACAGGAGTCATGGAAAATCCTTGAGTTCACGTGGCTCCTGCTTCTCTCCTTCCTCCCTCGTTTCCCCAAGACCCAGCAAAAATTCCCAGCAAAAGCATCCATAAGAAATGCAGAGCAGAGCCCCATCCATCACCCAGCCTTATCTTCATGTTTCTGAGGCACCTGAAATGATCCTGCAAAGGGATTTTTCAAAATACCCTTCTGCCTTTTCTAACATTTTGATGATGGAGAGAGAAAACTTGAGCAATTGCTAGGCTCTCGGTTTATTACTTTTTTTTTCTTCCCATTCATGGGGTTTTTTTGGAATGTCACTAGTTCTTATTTCCTACATCTCATAATTTGGGGACATTCAAGTAAAGTAAGACCTGCCAAATTGAAAACACATAGAACCCAAACAGTTTTCATACAGCAGGGAGTTAGACTGTTTTGTTCACTGCCCTAAATGATCGTTCAGGCCAAAGGATTAACCAGATTCCCACGTGAAGTGCACATTTATACGGCACCAATTGCTTCCAGAGTTAATGCTAAGGAAGCATTGGTGAGGCTACAACACTGGAGCTGAAGGTAACTCCTGACAGCCTGAAACCCGGCGTAGGGACAGACTTCCCCCATCCGCTCAGTGCTCAGTAAGCTTTCTGTGTCTTCCTTTGAAGCAGCAGCTTCTTCTCCAGTTCAAGAGAGCGCACTGGTGTAGTCCCAGTCCAGGATAATCCTGCCTCTGCCTTCCTTCGTTGGTGAGGAAAGCTTTTTACGGGGTTCGCTGCCCTTAATGTTTGAAAAAGGCATCTTTGTCCCAGCTGCTAATCAGTCACTGACATTCCAGTGATGTATTAAAAGTCAGCCAATAGCACTGTTTTAAACAAAACATTATTCCCTTGCTAGTGTTCATTTCTTCTCTCGGGTGACCGAGCCACTGTAGGACCTTTCAGTCTAGAGAAGAGCTGAATTTCTTTCATCAAAGAACCCAGCAGAATTATATTTTAACCTTTCCAGGCTCTTCTTCCTTGTCCTACAGAGCAAGCAGAAGACACAAGCTCAGATGTTTTCTCCTTTGCAGGGGAGTCAGTCTTAAACTAGAGGAAAAAAAACCAGGAGCGGGTCTAGATTCCCCCTGTTCAACTTTTGTGCGTGTGGTCCATGGCTTGTCTCAACCAGCTCCCTATGTCCTTGACCGTCCTGGACGGCTCAGATGACTTTACAGAGGGGAGGGTCATGAAGTCCGGGTGCTCCCGCTGGTTTCTTTAGGAGTCAAGAAGGCTGAGAGCCTCCAGGGATGCATTTCACTGCCTCAAAGGAACGAGCGTCTAGTTTGCAGTCTAAAAGTCCTCCTCTCTTTCCATTATCCTTAAAAAAAAAGGAGGGCTCTGAATCTGCGGCAAGCCCCAAGCTTCTTGGAGAAAGTGGTCAGCACTAACGCACCCTTTCCATTCCCTACTGCAGTATTACCAGGCTGCGCAGGGCAATGCCTGCTTCAAAGTGTTTTCCTTTCCTGATGTTATGCTGCTGCTCCTTTTCATCTAGAAAACGGCCATCCTAGATGCTGGGCCCCATCCCTGGGGCTTGCAGAGCTGAAGGAGAGCGTGCAGGTCTGCTTCGGTGGGTTCTCGGGTGGGAGGAGAGGGAGGAACTCTCTGGGAAGGTGGTTTTTAAGGTCCTCTTCAGTAGGTGGACTACCATCCTTGGCTGCCTGGAAGGGAAGAAGCAATATCTGAGAAAATGGCTCCTCTCAGTTCCTGCACCTCTCACTTCTGGGCGATGCTTTCGAGTGCTCAGTACCCATGGGCTCCGTCACCGAACTTCTTCAGCATCACTGCAATGAAGCAGAGCTCGTTTTCCTTCGTTGCGTCCAAAGTCCCAGCTGAAAACTGATGGAAGCCAGAGCATCCCGAACTCCCTCCATCCCAAACCGAAGCCCCAGCCTTTCCCCGGGGACCGCCGTCTTCCCGGGACCCCCAGCCCACCGCGATGGGTGCCGCAGGCCGGGCTGGCGGCGCCTCCTCCCTTCCTGCGCAGAGCCGCCGCTCTCCCTTTTATAATGTTCAGATCCTTTTGAAATGTGAATATCGGTTTGTGTTTTTGTTGTTGTTTTTTGTTTTGGTTTGGTTTTTTGTGCCGAGTCTGTCCTGGCTCTCGGGGCTTGGGAATAAATTATGACCCCCAAAAAAGGAAGAATACGTTTTATATATATGCAAAACTGTGTATTTATGTCCGATAGAAACAAAGATGTGTGAATATGCTGATGTGCTCAGAAATATATTTATTTACTAATATATTTATCCATGTACCCGGTCTGCTCGCCTGGTTTTGTTCACTGTACCGAGCCAGCGGGGCTGCGCTGCCAAAGCCGCCTCCGCCCAGTGCCCAGATCGCTTGGATCCCGGCCCCGGCCCCGGCCCCGGCCCAGCCCCAGGCCCGGCGCGGCGAGAGCGGCCTCGGCCC